AATTAATAAAATCAGTAAATTTACTAACGAAATTGCTCAGTTTTTAACGCTTCCGAATCCTCAAGATTACACTGGGCACTGTTTCCGCAGAACATCCGCAACGCTATTAGTGGATGCAGGAGGTGACTTGCTTCTGTTAAAAAAGCACGGTGGTTGGAAATCTAGTAGTGTTGCGGAAGGATATGTTGATGAATCCACGAACAGTAAAAACCAAATACAAACCAAAATTTTACAATCTGTACAAAATAAGGAAACTACTAGTTCATCAGATTATGGCGCATCATCATCTGAAATGACATTTAACAGTAGAACAAATATGTCGGCATCTACCTCAATAAATAAAAAGCTTGAGTGTGATACCCCCATAATTTTGAACAATTGTTCAAATATAACAATAAATCAATATTTAAATAATAAATAATATTTCTGAAATATTTAATTGTTGGTTAATTTTTTGTTATTCCTAACACAAAATAAAGCATTTGCTAACGTTTGTTTTTTTTTATTTTAGTAGTACCTACATGACATAATAGAGTTCGTAGAAAAAGTATAGTGTTTTACTCGTCGAAAATCATTTTTTGTCACTCGTGAAACAATATACTATTACCGGTCCCTCTTTTTCAATTTTTCCAATCGCTGTTTGATAATCCAGACTGCCTTGCAATTTATTGTCAAGTGACAGTTCGTTGATTTTTAATTTATTGTTTATGTCAAACTTGATTTGTGAGTTATCAAATTTACAAATAATATGGATTCAGATGCTGAAAATGAAATTCCACAAGATATTTTAGAAACAGCGAAGAAAGCTATTTACGATTTATTACCAATAAAATCAAAAACCCGCTATGAAAAGACATACGATTCATTTAAAAATTGGTGCCGAGAAAAAAAGTAAAAAATGTAAACGAAGTAGTGCTTTTGGCATATTTTGCCGAAAAATCACAAAAACTGGCTCCTTCATCATTATGGAGCCTATATTCCATGCTGAAATCTACGATGACTGTAAAAGAAAATGTAAATATCAACAATTTTTTCAAATTAATAGCGTTTATTAAAAAGAAATCGGTTGGTCATATAGCAAAGAAATCTAAGATTATGTCAAAAGAACAAATCGAAACATTCCTAAACAATGCTCCCGATATCGAATATCTTATGCTTAAGGTAAGTTAAAATCAAAGAAACGAAGTAAAAACTGATTACAATAAATTTTAATTCTATTCTAGGTGCTTTTAATTATGGGTTCCGCAGGTGCATGTCGCCGCGAAGAACTCGTTATTATGACACTTAATGATATCGAGGATAAGGAAACAATGTTGATAGTTAAAATCTCCATAACCAAAACGAATACCACCAATATTGTAAATTCCCAAATAGATTTGCAACTTTATAGGAATTATTTGCAATTGAGGCCACCGCATAGCAACCATAAACGACTATTTATTTTTGAAAGAGTAAAACCAAATTTGGTAGATTTTCACACTTTTATTTTAAATATAAAAAATTTTTTTTTTTTTTTAAAAACACTAACATGACATATGTTTCGAAGTACAACTTCTTTTTCAAATGTGACTATTTACAATTCGGTATCCAATATATATACGAAATAATTTAACAAAACAAAGTACTTAAGAAAACATCAATAACATTACAAAATAAACTAACTATTTAAAGTAAATAAGGGTATTTAGGTAATTATAATATCCATCAAATAACAATAAGATAGCCCATTACCGGGATTATCTCACAGAAAACTGGGAAAGAGATTTAATAAGGGTGAATTATTAATATCTAATTGATCATTTAGTAAGTTATCTGAATTTTTAAATCTATTTATTTCTAAAGTGTTTCTAAATGGTTTAATTTAAGGCTCTTATTTTCTAAATGTAAAATTTCAAAGTTGTCTGTAAAAGAATGATTTTCAGCTAAAATATGATTTGAGTAAGTAGAATTATTTTTGTTTTTTGTATAGCTATTATAATTTTCGGAATATCGTTTTTTGAAAGTACGGCCTGTTTGACCAATATACAATTTTGGACAACTACCACAATTTAATTTATATACCCCCGATTTATTATTAGGATTAATTTTACCCTTATTGTTTTTAAATTAAATTAAAAAATATTGTACGTCACACGACCGGAAATTAGTGTTTTACAGGTCTCACCAAGCTTCCAGGACTCGCCCTGTAATCTGCTTGTCTCGACCTGTAAAACACTACTTTCCGGTCTTGTAACGTAAATTACTATTTTCAAACATCTTGTAGTAAAAACCCAGACCCAGTCGATGAATATTCCTGGAAATATGAAATTACAAAATATTTATCTGAAGGCAGGGCCAATAGTTCAGAAAATGTATTGAATTGGTGGAAGAGGCACGAGACTATATTTCTAATATTATCTAAAATGGCTTGAAATTTCTTAGCCATACCTGCTACATCGGAATCAATAGAGAGGATTTTTTCAACGGCTTCTTTAACAATTATAAAACGAAGGAATAGACTAAATGATGAATTTGTTAGATGTTTAATATCTTTAAATTCTTGGACGGCTAATAGAGTTTTAACAGACATTATTTCAACATTAAAATAAAGAAAAAAATTAAAATGTAAATCAACATTTATGATTTGTGAATCAAGATTTCTGTTCTATTTTAATATCCAAACTAACTCTTAAACGAGATTCCCAAATTCCCACAGAATTCAAAAACGCCGTTTCCATTGGGGTCGCGAAAACCCAAAGAATTTTATCCGAAATTACTTATTTCACAGTGCTACATCGCCTCGAAAAGGCAAAAGCCGTAAACTGGTAGTAACTATATCATTTTACCATTCGCTCTCGCGGCGATCGGCCTCCCAAGCGACGGGGATTTTCTGTATACAGGGAGTGCCGAAATAAACGTTCGAATTTCTCAGAACCGAATTAACAATAACTATTGTCATTAATTAACTCATATTTTCTTGCTATTATTTGATCATTGTTTCTAAACAATTTATTCGATAGAGAAGATTGTTTTCCGTATAGAGGGAGCGTCGTATATTCTGGTTTTAATTATTTTGAGCTTCTTTATTGTTCAACTGTAATATATAAAAGCGGTATACGCACAGTCACCGTTTCATACAAACACATTCTGTTTAATGCTGCGGAATACGCACAGTAAAAAAACGGTCCGATTTAAAGCATACAACAGCAGTGTTGGTCCTGTTACGCCTGCATCGTACGTAGTGCGTGATACGCAGCTAGGAAAACGTAGCTTTAAATTAAATTTTATTTAGAAGTATATTTGTGAAAGATGGGCAAAATAAAACCAACATACAAAAATAGACGATTGGATCGAATAAGGAAATATCAATTAATACAGGGTATTTATTAATTGAGTACCGATACTTAAAGATGTGAATCCTTGGGTGATTTTAAAAACCTTACATAATTCTTGTATATTTTATATATCTTATATTTCTTATATGTCTTAAAAAGTCTTAAATATCTTAAATGTCATAAACGTCTTAAATGTCTTAAATGATTTATGTCGTAAACTTCTTAATTTTTGAGCTATAAGTTGTTATAGTTTTAAGAAAAAAATAACTATTTTATCATAATTTTCTTATCACTCCAGATATTTTTATAAAATTTTGCACAAAAAATGTGTTTCCACTCATGTTGGGTTCCTACCAAATTTCAACAAAATATCAAAAGCAGTTTCAATAAAAATGTTTCGGTTTTTATTTTTTTTTTACGCGAAAATGATGCTTCGTACGAAAGTACGGACCAAATTTTCTCGAAAATAAATAAGGATTTCAAAAATAATTTTGGTTTTTAGACAAAGCAGTGGTTTCCCATATTTCTTTAAAAATATTCAGTTCAAACCCCGTACGGACGTTATTTAAAAAGTCTTTTAAGACAAAAAGGTGGGATTAAAAGTGAAACTTTAGTCCGTTGGTACATAATATACTATATTTATATATCTAATTTTTATTATCTGTACCTAAACATATACAAAGTTAAATCATAAAACGACGCATCAAAAAAGCACCAAATTAATAACTTTTTTAATTTACGTAAAAAAGGATACAATAAACTATATTAATTATATTAACTAAAAACTACTATAATATGGGCTTATATATATTTTTTAATATTAATTTTATATGTAAAAATGTGGGTTCCTAGAAGGGTACCCGGTTCACTGCGCAGCCAAATTTTTTATGGTACAGAATTTTTAAAAAGTTTTAGGTTTAAATAAACATCAAGTTTTATCAGAAATAACATTTTCTGAAAAAGTAACAAGAAAAAGTTTTCAATATAAAGCAGGCTTTTAGGGCAATCCATATTAGAAAAATAAATAAAAATTTTGTATAATCGTAAAAATGTGATTTATTTTTTTGTAAAAGATTTATATTCTACAAAAAGTTTTTAACACTCGCAAATGTTTTAATTCAAATGTATTACCATGCACTTGTTAAAACGGTACAAAATACCTTAAACCGTCTATGGTTAACGATTTTAAACAAGAGGGAGACCGGACATTGACGCAGAAAAACAGCGCATTTAGTAAAGAATTTTACCTCGATTAAAAAGCTTTCTTTCTCTTTCCATTTCCTAAAAAAACTAAGAAACCTTTTTGATTTATTGCCTTGAAAATGATATAATTTACATAAAAAACAAATAACTGACTTATTATGTTGTTACTAATCATGTAAAAAGTAATACTTTTTGATAAGTGGACCGTATCACGTTTTAGAAAAAGAGCTATTTTTATGATTTTCAAAAATTCATATTTCCAAAACTAGACATAGAAACTGACTTAAACTTGTACATGTAAAATATTGTTTGATTATAACAAAACCAATAAAAGTTAACCTACAAATCATAAATTAAAATATTGTACCTGGACAAAAAACATATCAGTTATTAGTTTTTATAAAGTCCAACAAAATTGACCAATTCACTCACTAGAGGTGACCATACACACAAATTTACCACGATTAAAGGGACGTTGATATTATGGGAGAGAATTCTGAAGGAAAAACGATAGATGATTTATATACATTACTAAACCACATGAACAATAATATTGGCACAAAAATAGACAACGTAGCGTTCGAACTTAAAACATTTAAAAAAGAAACTACTAAAAAAGTAGAAATTCTAAAGGAAAAAATTGAAAACTTAGAAAACGCAAATGAAAAATTAACATCTCGTATAGAAAGACTAGAACAAAATAAAAAAAGGGAAAATTTAATTTTTTGTGGAATTTTCGAAAACGATCCTGAAACATTTAAAGACCTATTAAATATTGTAGAAAACTTATTAAAAAGCAACTTAAAGATTGAAGTTACAAATTTTGATATTACCAACATATTTAGAATTGGAAAAAAAGTAGTAAAACTAGACCCGTCTTAGTAATGTTCCATTCGATAATAAAAAGAAACGAAATAATTAAAAATTGCTTTAAGTTAAAGAATACTGGGATATACGTTTCTGAGGACCTAATCGAAAAGGATCTTAATGAAAGAAGAATTCTAGTGCAGCACCTGAAACAAGCTAAACTTGAAAAAAAGGAAGCAAAATTAATAGGAAAAAAACTAATCGTTAACGGAAAAGTGTACACTTACCAAGATCTTGAAAATCCCGAAGAAAATTTATACTTATCCCCACAAACGATTAGAAAAGCAGCAAGCGAGCCACCAACTCCATCTTTGCCAGTCTCTGAAGATTCGGTAGAAACAAATTTTGCTGAAAAACCCAATCTATCCCAAGCGAATCCCAAGGAAAAGGAACAAAAAAATAACGTGAACCCCCAAGTAGCAAAAAAAGTCAATCAAAACTCGACGAAAGAAAAAATAAAACAAAAACAAAAAAACAATAAATAAATAAAAAAAAAACAAAAAGCAAATGGGGTGGAAATCATCAAATAAAATATGTCTAATATAAATTAAAATTAAAGACAGAATCTATAGGAAATGGATACGTCAAGTAATACTTAGTGTCCTATCTTCTGTAGACAGACATCCTGTTTTAGATTTAAACACCAAAATAAATATCCTTTTAATACTTTTTAATATTTTTTAGTCTTTTAATTATTTTTAAATCTTTCTTTTCGAACGTGTTTATATTAAATAGTACTTAGGCATTTTATGTACACCTAAGGTACTGATGTAAACAAAACAATATATTACAATATAAGTTTATTTTTGCAATCAAGCTTAGGCTTATGCAATAACTAGTTTATTCATATTTATAAATAATTTTTGTAGCATTCTGTATTTATTTGTAAATTTTAATATTCTGTGAACTTCTATCTATCTATCTAACTTCTAGTGTCTTGTGCTACAATAATAAAAAAACTAGCCATTTATACATGTATTTGTTGCGGGGTTCTTTATAGTTCTAACTCTTTCCGCTCTCACTCGGGTAACACCTGAAGCGACTTGACGTACACTTGCAAAAGAACGTACCTTTCTTTTTTGACATCTGTCAACAGGAGACTCATGACATCGTTGTCACTTTAGACAAACCAAATATGGGAGAAAAAAGGTAGTTAGATATTAAATGACTCACTTAAATTAAATGAAAATCTTTAATTTTAACTAATAAACCAATTTTTTAAATACAAGTTTCCTTTGTTGATCTAAGCTACGTTTACACAGTTGTTTACCTCTTTTTGTTCCTTTAATATTAATAAAATGTCGCAACTGATTTCGGTCTACATGACCATTTTCAGGTCTACAATACAAATAACACAGTTGATCGAAAAAATATGATAAACATTATAAAAGGTAACTTAGCAACATGTTTGAAAGCTATACAATTTGACAATGTTACATTGGAGCAGTTTTGGAAACTGATAATTGCATAAACAGTATCGAAACAGCTCAGGAAAAAATGGCTTAGTTATCGATTGGTAAGTACTTAATATTTTATTTATATACAGTATGTCCCCCTAAGTTGGAATCATATGGAAAACTTTATTATTAATTTTACGAAAAAAAGTTATTCTTCATAAAAACTTCTGCAACATCTAAAACCTAGAATAGCCGCCAATTTATGTAGACAGTTGACGGCATAGGAAAGCTTTTTTATCACTAATTTTAGGAAAAAAAAAGTTGTTATTTATTTATATAGATAATTTAGTAATAAATTTAATGTAAAAGACTAATTCTACAACCGTTAATGTTACTATCTTAAACTTGAGTTTCAAATTTGTTACCATCACTATGAATTATTAAATAACTTTGTAGTCTAAATTTGTTATTAAAACCTTTAAAACAAATGTCTCAGTTGAATGGTTTTTCACTACTGTGAATTACTAAATGTCTCTGAAAGCTACATTTATAATTAAAACCTTTAGAGCAAATGTCACAATTGAATAGTTTTTGATCGCGGTGAATTTTTAAATGATTTTGTAAGTTACATGTCTGATTAAAGCATTTAGAACAAATGTCACACTTGAATGGTTTTTCGCCAGTGTGAATTATTAAATGTTTCCGTAAATTAGATTTTTGATTAAAACATCTCGAACAAATGTCACATTTGAATGGTTTTGTACCACTGTGAATTATTAAGTGTTGCTTTAAGGCACTTTTATTAATAAAACTTTTAAAACAAATGTCACACTTGAAATGATTTTCACCACTGTGAATTGTTAAATGGATCTGTAAGTTAGATTTATATTTAAAACCTTAAGAACAAATGTCACACTTGAATGGTTTTGTACCACTGTGAATTATTAAGGGTTGCTTTAAGACACCTTTATTTATAAAACTTTCATTACTGTGAACTAGTAAATGTTTCTGTAAGACAGATTTAAAATGAAAACATTTAGAACATATGTCACATTTGAAAGGTTTTTCACTACTGTGATTTATTAAATGTCTTCGTAAACTATATTTAAAATTAAAACATTTAGAACAAAGGTCACACTTGAATGTAATTTCACTACTGTGAATTAGTAAATGCTTCTGTAAGTTAGATTTATCATTAAAACATTTAGAGCAAATATCACATTTGTACGGTTTAATATCACTATGAATAGCTAAATGTCTCTTTAATATAAATTTTCGACTAAATCCTTTAGAACAAACATTACAATAAAACGTTTTATCGTCAACTTTATCAATCCTCTTTTGCTTCCACCCTCTAAAAGAAAAATGGTATTTCATGTCGCTAATGTGGTTTTTAGTTGTATTTTTCACTACGTGAATAAGAAAATGTTGATAAAATACTATTTTTGTCATTATTTTTCCGCAAAACTGACAAACTGCGTAGCGTTTCTGAAAATGTCCATCAATATGAGTTGATCTTGATTTAGAAGAAGGGAAATCTGCAAATTAAAAACGCCAATTTAAATAACATTGTCATTCCCCTATATTTGTAATTTTATTTATATCAATTTTTAAAATTATAACTTCATTTTATTATATCCCTCTAAACTTATTTATAATAACAAGTTAAATTTTAAATATCATTTGATTAATGTACTTTAACGTGTTGTAAAAATGCAAAATATTAATTACAATTTAAATCAAATTAATTTAAACACCCGCTATTTTTTCAAATGAAATATTTCGTAATATCTGCATTGTACATTTTTTATATATGGCTCCATTATGAGTAAAATATCGGCCATATTTTATTGTTAGACTGACAGCTTGTTGCAACAACATTCATTAACATTTATGGCCACGATAAACTTTGGCAAATGTGATTGATCTGAATGACGTAAATTTCTAACTAATTTTACATAACAATACACTCTTCACATTTAAAATAAAATAAAAATATATAAGTATACCTGTAACGAGCACTTTGATGCTGATTTTATTTTCGTATATTTATATTTATTACTCAAACATATGGAAGATAATAAATATTGTTACTCTTGTAGGATTTTTCGTATTTTTATATTTAATATTTCGAGTGCAATTTAATTTGAATTCAATGACAACAGAATTGTCTGCGCGACGATGACGTAGGGGAAAAGGGTATAAAGGTTTCGTACACATGAGCTGATAGAACGAGCGAGGTGGCTTTGCGGTAACGCATCTGCCTCGCATTCGGAAGTTCTTTGTGACGAAGTCACTAAATTTTATTTTTAATTGTGAAAATGTATATTTTAATTAATTCCCACCTGGGAACTTTTCGACGAGCTTCCCCTAATTTTTGTTTCCCAGGAATTCACGTTTTTAAACTCAATATAAATAGAACAGAAACGGGCATAAGTAACAATACAGAGAGACAGACACTGATTCTTCGAAGAAAACATATCAAATATCAATTAACTGAGTCGTCTTTTAAATGCAAAGATGCTTAGATAGTTCATACTGTCAGATAGTTTATTGCATAACTTTATCTCTTCAGATATAGTATATAGTTTTTTTCATGCTAGCTGTTTTCATTGCATCCGCTCGGATATTCCTCACATTGTAGTTATGATATGAGTCTCATTCACTGAAACGAATTGAAGGTTGGAGTGGGTTGTATTGAGTTTGTAGTTGTGGATGTAGAGACGATTGAAAAATGAAAAATTAAAATGAAGATTTTTATATAAATTTATTTCAACCACGAACTACTAACAAGTTCAATATTTTCCTTTTTTTTTTTTAGTTTTTATTTTATATTACTTAATATTGAATGAGCTGACACGTTTTTATGATTTGACGACTTACATCAAACAAAATACGACACTTATATACCTAAATAGAATATGTAATTTATCTGAATCAATTTTGTGCATAATATAAGAGTTTTCAATTTTTTGGCAACTTTAGTAATATGCAAAATGTGTGTGTGATTGGATTTTATGACTGCGGATATAATCCATTAGCCTATTATATATTTATGTTTTATTGATACTAATTTAAAATGAGAGAGAGAGAGAATCATATGAAGTATTTTACAATTGTATTTTTCTGATACTATTAATATATTGATACAAAAATTTTTCTTAATATTTTATAGAATTTTTTTGAATTCTTTTGTTTTAATCTTGTGTTAAAACATTTGGCATTTTTTGTTTTCTGTTAGTTTTTTTATTTTTTTTTCTGATTTGTTTTTTCCGATTTGTTTTTTCTTGTTTTTTTTTTTTTGTTTTTTTTTATTTGTTTTTTAAATTTTTATTAGGAAAGAACTTGGACACCTTACGCTTAGGGGTCAATCAAAGCGATTTAAGACAAACAAAGGAGGACCTTGGATAGGAGGAATACAAATGGAAAAAAGATTTTGTTCTACAATTTTAAATTAATATTAGATATGTGACGAAAAAGTAATTCATATATATTTAAATCTTGTAATTGTAATAACTCTTGTAAATTAAATGGTCTTGTTATGCTTACTATTTACAATCAATATAATTATTTTATAACATTCTTTAAATTTTTTAAAAATATTCTCTAGTATTTTTATAATTTATGAAGCAATATAGCATTAAAACTCCTATACCCGAAAAATTGTACGTACACTCTTAATTGATTGAGAGTCGAAAAGCGTCTAGATAGTTTAGCAATACATTCGCTCCTGTACCAGCCAAGATATCCTCGATAAAAGAACAAAGTAATAAATACAGGAGGCCAATGTAAACGGACAATAAACGGTCTCATGACATTTTATATTTTTAAATAAACCAGATTTTTTAAAAAATATTTTCTAAACCCGTTGTTTTGTATAGGTGACTCTTGACATCGTTGTCACTTTAGCCAACCCAAGTGTAGGACAAAAAAGATGTCAGATATTAAATGATTCACATAAATTAGATGAAAACCTTTAATTTTAACTAATAAACCAATTTTTTATATAAAACAATTTTGCACAAAATACAAGTTGTCTTTAATGATCTAAGCTACGTTTACAATGCTGTTTATCTCTTTTGGTTCCT